CTAGGGAGGCGAGTATCGCTCTATGGTCCGGGCGGCCTCGGCGTGGAGGTGCGGAGCCTGAGCCAGCACCTCGGCCGCCTTGTCCTGGCTCAGCCCCAGGTGCTCAGCCGTGAACTTGGCCAGCGGGTAGAGGCTCTCCATGGCCTTGGGGTCGCTGAGGAAGTGCGAGGTGTGGGAGAGCAGCTCAGCCGCCTTCTCCTGCTTGAGCCCCAGCTGGTCGGCGGTGAGGCGGGCCATGGCGTAGACACTGTCGGGGAAGTCCAGCTTGGCTTTGCCGTCGGGGCCGGCCGCGTGCATCTTCATGTGGCTGATGAGGTTGCGCTGCTAAAAGCAAGTTTATTGAGTATGAAAAGATTGAGATTTGAGGGTGAAGAACTGCCAAATGTACCATTGTTTCCCTTGTAAATCCAACCTGTGTAGTGGATGAAGGGTCTTAAATATATATATATGTATATGTGGCAGTCATAAAGGAGTATCTCATGTATTGGATAGCAATTAAAAGCTCACTTCAGAAACTGTAAACGTGGAATTTCCCAACTCAGAGGTATTTCTTTTGGTAACCTAAACAAAATCTTTTGGTGTAACATTTTTGTTTATTGTCTTAGATGTAACATTCTTAATGACTTTTATTTTTTCCTTGGAAAAAAGTGAGGAAAGGTGCATTCCATGCAAGTATAACAACCCATTCCCCTCCACAACCTACTGTAATTATGCATCATTAGTTCTTCATTCCCTGCTGTTGGTTCAAAGAGTTATAACTGGCAGCAGTAGAAGGCTGTTATCAGTGGTACAGGAGAAGTTGCTGCTGTAGAGTACCAAAAGGATATGTTAAGAAGTATATTTGGTCTGTGAAGACTATTCATTAGCGGGTCATGGTGCCGCGTTGCGTGAACTTCTTGCCGCAGATGGTGCGGGGGTAGGGGCGCGTCAGCCAGTGCGTCTTCTCGTGCTGCCGCAGCGTGGCCGGGTCCTTGTAGGACTTGTCACAGGAGGAGCAGCGGTAGGGCCGTAGGATGTCACCCAGCCCCGGGCCACCCTTGTCCAGGAAGGGCACGGCCTGCTCGGCCGCCGCCTTGTGATAGAGCTCCTCTTCGTTGTGGGCCTCCACGTGGGCGTTGAGCTGCTCGGAGCTGGGGAAGCCCTTGCCGCAGGGGATGCAGACGTACAGGTTGTCGCCCAGGCTCTCCGGCTCGTAGCCCAGGTGGTTGCAGTAGCGGTCCAGCGCGTCGCCAGGCGAGGGGCCCTCGCTGCTGCCCGTCTCCTCGCTCGTGCTGTTATCGGGCTCCAGGTCATTGCTCTCCACGCTGGGGTAGCGGGGCTGCGGCGCCGCGGGCGGCGACTCGGCCTTTTCCTCCCGCTCCCGCTCCTTCTCCCCCTC